TTTATTTATTTATTATTCATGTAATTTAGCTCATTTATGTGCATTCGTTTCATTTCAGCTCAGTGTGAGAGAGTATCTTATCTTTTGCCTTTTGTCATCGGCTATATGGTGCTTCACCATCGACACTGTTTTATTTTACTATCAACAATAATGGAGCTTGTGTTTGTGACAGAACTATAAAAGGTGAGAGATGATGAACAGTTTGGATAGCAGGAGAGTCACAGGAGTGAACTGACACACTTTCTGCTTTCTCTAGTCTCCATAAGAATTGGATCCTGAAGTCAGCAGAATGATAGAGGTGGCAGCGCTCGGCCGGCCATTCAGCCTCGGGATGCTGTACGACCGTCGCAGAGATTCACTGGTCCCTGGTGAGGATGCACATGTGACGTTATTAAATGCGTGTGTGTGTGTGTGTGTGTATGTGTGTGTGTGTGTGTGTTTGCTAGCTGCTAGGTTGCTCAGCTGGCAGCTGTCACTCTGCTGTAACAAGGTTTTCCTCTTTGCTGGAATCCCACACATTTCTTTTAGCGTGTTTTCCTCCATGGCGAACTGCTATTTGTCTGTTTGTTTGGGTTTAACGCTGATCAGTGGGTCGTTTCTAGGGTTGGGAATCTCTCTGTGATAGACGATTCGATACGTATCTAGATACACGGGTTACGATACAATTCAAAAACGATATATTTTTAATACAGAACAATTCGATGCGATTCGATACGATTCGATACGATTCTATGGTTAACATTTGTTGATGTAGACATTAATCATACATTATAAAATAAAGAAGCCAATTCTATAAAAGTGACATTCTTACAGTATTTTCAAATTTGTAAAAGACCACATCCCCAAGCATTGTTGCTGTATGGCACTGGCAAAAATAAAATAAAAAGACAAACAACAACAAAATCACATGTCAAATGTATTTATTTTTAGACATGGACCAAAAAAAGACTTGCTGAATGAAAATCATTTTGTTGGATGGGATCAATATAAAAATGAGAAGAAGTTTTAAACTTTAAGTGAAGTGAACTTTAAGTAAAATTTAAGTGTTTTAAATCTACTTGTTGTGTTGTTTTTATTGTATTGTCTGTGTTTTTGTATGTATCTTATATGGACTTGAGTCTGGAATTAAGTTTATCATAACGCTGTACAATATGAACATAAAGCAGAATAAAATAATAACATGCAATGTAGGGGCAGAATCTGACATCTCCTGTTATTAATTGATATCATGGACTGTGATGACAGCTTATCACTGACAACATGTCAGACTATTTCTCTGTGTTTGCTACACTCTGTGTTTGTCATTTATAAAAAAATAAATCACTTTTCTATAATACATCAATGATATTTCAATGGAATAAATTACTTATTGACTTATTCATACTTCAAAAACAGCATCAATAAGTGATTAACATAGGGGGGGATCAAAATAAAATAAATAAATAAAATAAAAATCAACCAGCCACCCTCCTCCCCTGACAAGTAAAGAACAGTCCCTAAAATGCGGTGAGGTTTGTGGAAATGTGAACGGCTCATTTCTCCTCTGACACGCCACATACCTGTGTGCTGCTACGGCTCGGCTGTTCAGATATTTCTGGGCAGTCATGACACCGACAAAGACTTCTTGGACCGGGCTTCTCGGTCGCCGGTAAGCCATTATCTTGCGCCGCGGAGCACTTTGGCCGCCGTATTTGACAGGAATACGTATTTCTGTCTGTGTCTGTGACCCCCCGTTCAACCCACAACCGACAGGATTCGCCTGTAGTTTCTGCTGCGGCTTGGCTGCTCCCTGGTTTATCCAACCAGCATTAGCTTCTGTTCCTCATCTCCACCGGTCAAGCTGGCGCTGATGTTTACATCCATTATCGTTGTCAGTAATGCCTGCTACGGAGCATGCCGCCGGCTCTCGCGTTGTTTTAGAGATGCAAACTGTTAAAGCCAGTCAACCGATTGCTAGTCTCGCAATACCCGAATCCATGACTCCACAATCGATTCATCTAAGGATTCTTGGCTGATTCGTATCGATTGAGGAGGCTGCTACTGATGCAGCCGTATCTCTCGCTTGTCAAACCGGATATCCGGTCGTATCGGTGAATCGTTCCCAACCCTAGTCGTTTCATGCTGCATTTCTATTGGTTGGTTAGTAGATGTAGGTTGTAACAGCAGTCACACAGTGAGATGGTCATCCCAAATGTCTGTCAGAATTTTATCCCGGGCCATCTTTGATCGTAAGACCGTGACAATGGCCATCCTTGAACCTCTCACTGTGCGACGTAGGACCACCATTTTAGAGCCACGACCAAAGATATCACCACCTTTCCTTCACGTTAGTCATCTTTCGTCTGGAACAGTTTACACCGGGCTTTAGGCACTTTTTGTCACAAGTATTGTACTTTGCTACATTTGTAGTCACATTCTTTACTGAGAAAAAACAAAAGTCACATGAATCAGTCCTGATGAACTGTGTGAGAATTGAACAAAAGAAAGGAGATAAAGCAACATTGCTGACGTGACTGCCTTCATTGAGTGCGTTTACATGGACAGTTTAATTCCCTTTTCATTTGGAATGAAAGTTCATTCCTGTTAAAAGTGATCTTGTAAACACCTAATTCGGAATGAAAATGGCCAATGCGATTGAAAATTCAATCCGATGTAAGGGGCTGGAATATTCCGTTTGTAATTCCGAATGAAAGAATTTCTCGCACTCATTCCTCTTTAAGTTCATTCCAGTATTTCTGCGCATGCTCGTTTCCTTGCCCTTCTGGCGCGACGATGTATATAGCGCGCACAATGACATATATAGCGCGCATAGCAAAGGGCTGAGATAGAGCACTCGGACTCGTTGCACTCATCAGTTTCCATTCTCCACAGCACGGTCTTCTATCTCCCTTCTTCGACCTTCTACCTCCCTCCTCCTCCTCAACAGATGAAGCATTAGCAGAACAAGGTTGTTGTCGTACTGCTGCCTCAAGAATATAAGCAAAACAAGCCTGAAAAAGGCACTAAGAACGGCGTCGTGAAGCATATTGTTATCCGGAGCGAGGACTACAGTGTTTTCTTCCAGTAAACATAAACATGTAACATCTGCCCCGCCCACTATCCAATCAGAAACCTTCCCTGCCCCAACCCTTGCGCGGACCGAATACAGGCGATTAAAAGGCGAATAAACTGATCTCCGTGTAAACCCTCATTCAGAATGAATATTTCCCATATAAACTACCTGGAAAGACATTAATTCCAAATTATTTCATTCAGATGTATCTCATTCTGAATGAGAAGCCATCATGTAACCGCACCCATTGTACTCCAAGCACACTGGTAAAACTTTTAGGAGCAAAGTGGGACAGAGATGCCGAGTAGACTGGTTATAGATGGACATAGTGTAGATTATCTGCGCTGACAGAGTTTGCTGACTAATAGTTGGAGCACTTTTTATATGGACATGTCTTTGATAAAAAGTTATTCACAAGTTACAACTCTGTTGCACTGGCCACTAAGAGCAAGCACAAGTTTATGCTCTGTGAAGACCTAAAAATATATTTAGCAGTGACATTTATTTCACATTTTCATTTGGATCTAGTTTTGGATTTTGGATTTCATATGTATCTTAAATAGATTTGTTCATTATTGAAGACTTTTTTTTGAAGTTTTACTGACACCATAGCTAATAGATTAGTGTTTTTCCTCTTTTAGTCTTAGCGTTTCACTGATTTTGTGTCTGACATCCAGTCACTCTATCTAGCAGTTTTACTTCTCTTCTTTTAGACAGGCATAATGCTGTGAGACTAGGGTGACCTATTAGAAGTTATAAGAGAAAAATGTGTTAAAGTGAAATGTTGAAGCCTATCTATCAGCAAGTTTCTTAAAAAAACAAAAAAACAATTTCCATTCCTTGATTCACAATTATTTCCTTCCTTTCTTTGCAGGCATGGCTTTGTGGGACCGTGACGATCTGGTAATACACACACAAGAAAGACTTCAACAGTTGAATACTTTTGAGATAGTCGTATCTGAATCAATTGAGGGCAAATCATCAGCACTAAATGTTGAAGCATCCCTGAAGGCAAGTTTCTTAAGTGGACTGGTGGAGGTTGGAGGATCGGCCAAATACCTGAACGATAG